AAATCCGTTGTACAATCCGACGTTTTGGATTTGGTCCCACACAGCAATTTCATACCTTGCCAATTTCGCATACCGTTGTTACATTGCAGAAACTGGGAGGTGTACGACACAGAGACGTTTGAATACAGCTTTGCTCAGGTTGCTATAATACTTGGCAGCCGCTGAAATGGGAGCATTAGACTTGAAACAACAATCGGTTCAGGGATAACAAGCTCCAAAGGAACAAAAACCGTCCCAGTTTGTTGTGTTGTTACGCCAAAAGGTGAAATAGGGCGAGAGAAATGAGTGAGAAAGAAAATGAGGCAATCCGATGAGCCTAAAGGGGAGAGGAAAGTCATGTTAAAGAAGCGAGAGGTAATGGATGTAAGAATGAGATGATGTATGCGGTTACCAATACGACTAGGCATGCGCGTGGGGAGGCCAACTATTGGACTCAGGTTGCTGACCACAGCAAAAGCCTCGGCTTCGTGGACCATGAACGAAGTATCTGAAGAGTGCTTCAGGTGTTCCTTAACGTAGACATTTAAATCTTCAACAATGGTTATTTGACACTCGGGATCTGTCACCATTAGTGCCTCAATGTTGGAAGATAGAATGCCAACGATGGAAGAATCTCTGCTGCTCGGGGAGCAGTAAACAGTTTCGAAATAGTAGTTGAAACAAAGAAACTGACATTTCAGCCACATAAGCTGAAGTTCACGGTTGGACAAATCGCAGTTCGAAAGTCGGGAAGAGGCGACAGACTGATGGATACAGGCACAGATACCAGCTTTTAAGGAGAATGGAGGAAGTAGGTAGAGAACTGAAGATGATTAGTGTCTGACGAGAGAGATTTGTCTCGGGCAAAAATAAAACCAAGGAGGAAGAAGATTAGAGAAAGTAATGTGCAGAATTAACATTCTGATTTGACCTACGAGTCTTAGTGAGGACAATAGAGTGGCATGAGTTCGTAGATAGAGAGCACAAACTGCGATTTATGCGTGTTGTATTGTTCGCTTGTAATGCGGGAGAAGACCGGCAACCCAGCCCTGAGACTTGGAGTGGTAAACCGCATAAGGCCTCAACAGTTTGAGCGTGGCAGTGAACCGAGCGATAGCAGGGCTGCCTAAAATC